CTGAGGTGGTGAGCCAGTTCTTTCCTCAGATTGTTCTTCTGCTCGCGCTCAGTCTTCAGCGCATCCAGCGCTTCCTCCAGCTGCCCTTCAGAGATGTCCTTCAAGCGTAATGCATCTTCCAGCTGGCTGTTAAGGAGGACGGTTTCCTCCTCCAGCACCTTGATTTCATGTTTCAGTCCCTCATACTCAACCTGAGGAGAGCCGAAGAGGGAAAGGTCGCTGAATTTTCTGCACCAGTTTTAAAAAATGTAAAAAGAAATGAAATAAGTTTGCGTTGATTTAACAAAGTTCTTCACTATTTTGTTGATTTTCATTACTCATTAGTGCTGTGTGTTATAGTGCTGTGTGTATTAGTGATGTGTGTAATAGTGATGTGTGTGTTAGTGATGTGTGTAATAGTGCTGTGTGTATTAGTGATGTGTGTAATAGTGATGTGTGTATTAGTGATGTGTGTATTAGTGATGTGTGTAATAGTGATGTGTGTATTAGTGATGTGTGTAATAGTGATGTGTGTATTAGTGATGTGTGTATTAGTGATGTGTGTAATAGTGATGTGTGTGTTAGTGATGTGTGTAATAGTGCTGTGTGTATTAGTGATGTGTGTAATAGTGATGTGTGTATTAGTGATGTGTGTATTAGTGATGTGTGTAATAGTGATGTGTGTATTAGTGATGTGTGTAATAGTGATGTGTGTATTAGTGATGTGTGTAATAGTGATGTGTGTATTAGTGATGTGTGTAATAGTGATGTGTGTATTAGTGATGTTTGTAATAGTGATGTGTGTATTAGTGATGTGTGTAATAGTGATGTGTGTAATAGTGCTGTGTGTAATAGTGATGTGTGTATTAGTGATGTGTGTAATAGTGATGTGTGTATTAGTGATGTGTGTAATAGTGATGTGTGTATTAGTGATGTGTGTAATAGTGATGTGTGTATTAGTGATGTGTGTAATAGTGATGTGTGTATTAGTGATGTGTGTAATAGTGCTGTGTGTAATAGTGATGTGTGTATTAGTGATGTGTGTAATAGTGATGTGTGTAATAGAGCTGTGTGTATTAGTGATGTGTGTATTAGTGATGTGTGTAATAGTGATGTGTGTATTAGTGATGTGTGTAATAGTGATGTGTGTATTAGTGATGTGTGTAATAGTGATGTGTGTAATAGTGCTGTGTGTATTAGTGATGTGTGTAATAGTGATGTGTGTATTAGTGATGTGTGTAATAGTGATGTGTGTATTAGTGATGTGTGTATTAGTGATGTGTGTATTAGTGATGTGTGTATTAGTGATGTGTGTAATAGTGATGTGTGTATTAGTGATGTGTGTATTAGTGATGTGTGTAATAGTGATGTGTGTAATAGTGATGGGTGTAATAGTGATGTGTGTAATAGTGATGTGTGTAATAGTGATGTGTGTATTAGTGCTGTGTGTAATAGTGCTGTGTGTAATAGTGCTGTGTGAAATAGTGCTGTGTGTAATAGTGATGTGTGTAATAGTGATGTGTGTATTAGTGATGTGTGTAATAGTGATGTGTGTATTAGTGATGTGTGTATCAGTGATGTGTGTATTAGTGATGTGTGTAATAGTGATGTGTGTAATAGTGATGTGTGTAATAGTGCTGTGTGTAATAGTGATGTGTGTATTAGTGATGTGTGTAATAGTGATGTGTGTATTAGTGATGTGTGTAATAGTGATGCGTGTAATAGTGATGTGTGTTATAGTGCTGTGTGTATTAGTGATGTTTGTAATAGTGATGTGTGTATTAGTGATGTGTGTAATAGTGATGTGTGTAATAGTGATGTGTGTATTAGTGATGTGTGTAATAGTGATGTGTGTATTAGTGATGTGTGTAATAGTGATGTGTGTATTAGTGATGTGTGTATTAGTGATGTGTGTAATAGTGATGTGTGTATTAGTGCTGTGTGTAATAGTGATGTGTGTAATAGTGATGTGTGTAATAGTGATGTGTGTAATAGTGCTGTGTGTAATAGTGATGTGTGTATTAGTGATGTGTGTAATAGTGATGTGTGTATTAGTGATGTGTGTAATAGTGATGTGTGTATTAGTGATGTGTGTATTATTGATGTGTGTATTAGTGATGTGTGTATTAGTGTTGTGTGTATTAGTGATGTATGTATTAGTGATGTGTGTATTAGTGATGTGTGTAATAGTGATGCGTGTAATAGTGATGTGTGTTATAGTGCTGTGTGTATTAGTGATGTTTGTAATAGTGATGTGTGTATTAGTGATGTGTGTAATAGTGATGTGTGTAATAGTGATGTGTGTATTAGTGATGTGTGTAATAGTGATGTGTGTATTAGTGATGTGTGTAATAGTGATGTGTGTATTAGTGATGTGTGTATTAGTGATGTGTGTAATAGTGATGTGTGTATTAGTGCTGTGTGTAATAGTGATGTGTGTAATAGTGATGTGTGTAATAGTGATGTGTGTATTAGTGATGTGTGTATTAGTGATGTGTGTATTAGTGCTGTGTGTATTAGTGCTGTGTGTATTAGTGATGTGTGTATTAGTGATGTGTGTATTAGTGATGTGTGTGTTAGTGATGTGTGTATTAGTGATGTGTGTGTTAGTGCTGTGTGTATTAGTGCTGTGTGTAATAGTGCTGTGTGTGTTAGTGCTGTGTGTATTAGTGATGTGTGTATTAGTGATGTGTGTATTAGTGCTGTGTGTATTTGTGCTGTGTGTATTAGTGATGTGTGTGTTAGTGCTGTGTGTATTAGTGCTGTGTGTGTTAGTGCTGTGTGTATTAGTTATGTGTGTATTAGTGATGTGTGTATTAGTGATGTGTGTGTTAGTGATGTGTGTATTAGTGATGTGTGTAATAGTGATGTGTGTATTAGTGCTGTGTGTATTAGTGATGTGTGTAATAGTGCTGTGTGTAATAGTGATGTGTGTATTAGTGATGTGTGTATTAGTGCTGTGTGTATTAGTGATGTGTGTATTAGTGATGTGTGTATTAGTGATGTGTGTATTAGTGATGTGTGTGTTAGTGATGTGTGTATTAGTGATGTGTGTATTAGTGATGTGTGTGTTAGTGCTGTGTGTATTAGTGATGTGTGTATTAGTGATGTGTGTATTAGTGATGTGTGTATTAGTGATGTGTGTGTTAGTGATGTGTGTATTAGTGATGTGTGTGTTAGTGATGTGTGTGTTAGTGCTATGTGTATTAGTGCTGTGTGTATTAGTGATGTGTGTATTAGTGATGTGTGTAGTAGTGCTGTGTGTATTAGTGCTGTGTGTAATAGTGATGTGTGTAATAGTGCTGTGTGTAATAGTGATGTGTGTATTAGTGATGTGTGTGTTAGTGATGTGTGTATTAGTGATGTGTGTATTAGTGCTGTGTGTAATAGTGATGTGTGTATTAGTGATGTGTGTGTTAGTGATGTGTGTATTAGTGATGTGTGTGTTAGTGATGTGTGTAGTAATGCTGTGTGTATTAGTGCTGTGTGTAATAGTGATGTGTGTAATAGTGCTGTGTGTAATAGTGATGTGTGTATTAGTGAAGTGTGTGTTAGTGATGTGTGTATTAGTGATGTGTGTATTAGTGCTGTGTGTAATAGTGATGTGTGTATTAGTGATGTGTGTGTTAGTGATGTGTGTATTAGTGATGTGTGTATTAGTGCTGTGTGTAATAGTGCTGTGTGTATTAGTGATGTGTGTGTTAGTGCTGTGTGTATTAGTGATGCGTGTATTAGTGATGTGTGTATTAGTGCTGAGTGTATTAGTGATGTGTGTATTAGTGCTGTGTGTATTAGTGATGTGTGTATTAGTGATGTGTGTGTTAGTGCTGTGTGTATTAGTGATGTGTGTATTAGTGCTGTGTGTATTAGTGATGTGTGTATTAGTGATGTGTGTATTAGTGCTGCGTGTAATAGTGATGTGTGTATTAGTGATGTGTGTGTTAGTGCTGTGTGTATTAGTGCTGTGTGTATTAGTGATGTGTGTATTAGTGATGTGTGTAATAGTGATGTGTGTATTAGTGCTGTGTGTATTAGTGCTGTGTGTAATAATGATGTGTGTAATAGTGATGTGTGTTATAGTGCTGTGTGTATTAGTGCTGTGTGTAATAGTGATGTGTGTATTAGTGATGTGTGTAATAGTGATGTGTGTATTAGTGATGTGTGTATTAGTGCTGTGTGTATTAGTGCTGTGTGTAATAGTGCTGTGTGTAATAGTGATGTGTGTTATAGTGCTGTGTGTAATAGTGCTGTGTGTATTAGTGCTGTGTGTAATAGTGCTGTGTGTTATAGGGCTGTGTGTAATAGTGTTGTGTGTATTAGTGATGTGTGTATTAGTGATGTGTGTGTTAGTGCTGTGTGTATTAGTGATATGTGTATTAGTGATGTGTGTATTAGTGATGTGTGTATTAGTGCTGTGTGTATTAGTGCTGTGTGTATTAGTGATGTGTGTGTTAGTGATGTGTGTATTAGTGATGTGTGTGTTAGTGCTGTGTGTATTAGTGATGTGTGTGTTAGTGCTGTGTGTATTAGTGCTGTGTGTAATAGTGCTGTGTGTGTTAGTGCTGTGTGTATTAGTGATGTGTGTATTAGTGCTGTGTGTATTTGTGCTGTGTGTATTAGTGATGTGTGTATTAGTGATGTGTGTATTAGTGATGTGTGTGTTAGTGCTGTGTGTATTAGTGCTGTGTGTGTTAGTGCTGTGTGTATTAGTGATGTTTGTATTAGTGATGTGTGTGTTAGTGATGTGTGTATTAGTGATGTGTGTAATAGTGATGTGTGTATTAGTGCTGTGTGTATTAGTGATGTGTGTAATAGTGCTGTGTGTAATAGTGATGTGTGTATTAGTGATGTGTGTATTAGTGCTGTGTGTATTAGTGATGTGTGTATTAGTGATGTGTGTATTAGTGATGTGTGTGTTAGTGCTATGTGTATTAGTGCTGTGTGTATTAGTGATGTGTGTATTAGTGATGTGTGTAGTAGTGCTGTGTGTATTAGTGCTGTGTGTAATAGTGATGTGTGTAATAGTGCTGTGTGTAATAGTGATGTGTGTATTAGTGATGTGTGTGTTAGTGATGTGTGTATTAGTGATGTGTGTATTAGTGCTGTGTGTAATAGTGATGTGTGTATTAGTGATGTGTGTGTTAGTGATGTGTGTATTAGTGATGTGTGTGTTAGTGATGTGTGTAGTAGTGCTGTGTGTATTAGTGCTGTG